AAGTATTATTTTGGAACAGCATCTGAAAATTTATCCAGATAGTCTACAGTTTGGGTCAGTTTCCATTCCACTTTGATCAAAAAACTTATTGAAGAGTGTTATTGAAACATAACAGTAATTTGACTAGTTTTCATGTATTGAGAAATATGACATCTTCACAGAAAAATTTTCATAAAATCACAAATATATAGCCTAATTACTTATACAACGATTATAGCGGGATGTAGTGATATGTAATTATTTTATTTTTAATTTCTCTTATATGTAATCTGGTTGAGTACTTTTATACATGTATTTTTGTCTCAGATTCTTATAAGATAGCTTCTCTCTTACCCTTTTTAATGATAGATTGCCTATCTTGTATTGCTTTTTTGAAGTCATTTAGATTTTGGATATATGTTTGATAATCAGAAAATCTTAATTTTAATAAAAAATGAGTCAAGATCTCATGTAACCCAAACTGGCTTCAAACTCCCTATTTAGTTGAGGCTGGCTGATAACTGGTCTTCCTGCCTTCTCTTCCCCAAGTGCTGGAATTTCAGATGTGGTATGCCATGCCCGCCTAAATCTACATTATGAAATATCTCTACATTTTGATTGAACTGTGCTCTTAAAGCATATGTTATATAATTCTAACCCTTAATAATAATCAGATTTAGTTAAAGTTAGGTCAGATATGGTGGCATATGCCTGCAATTCCAGCACTCAGTAAGGAGAGGCAGCAAGATTTGGTGTTCTGGCCAGCCTTGGCTCTGCAGTGAGTTCAAAAGACTATGGTCTCAAAACCTAACTAATTCACTAGCTAGCTAACTACCTAACCAACCAATTTCTAAGTTTTCTTTTTCATCAGTGTATAATCCATTTTCATAAACATCTTATACATGCTTTAAAGGAATGTACATTCTTTGTTTATGGCACTGCTTTTCCAGTTATGCCTAATATACCACATTGCTGATTGTCTTGTTCAACACTATAGTATTCTTAGTATTTTTAACATTAGAATCACTTGTATTTGCCTTATCTCTCTTATTATATGTTTTTTTTGCAGTTCCCTGCAATTTTGCTTTATACATTTGGAAACTATAATGCTGGTACATTTATGTTTGAGATTGTTATAACTTAATGGAAAGTTTTTTTTTTATTTCTGTAAGGCATGAGGTGTTTTCCTTATTTCTGTTTTATACAAGGCAGTTGATTATAATTAATCAGTTCATTTTTATGAGATATTTTGAAATTAATTCTGCTAATGAGTTGTCTCTTTCAGCTTACAAAGCAAAGGAGACAGATAAAAAGTACTTACAACACAGTTTTAAGCATTTTGAAGTAAAATATGGTATGTCATTATAGCTGAGGTGGGTCACTTAATCCAAACTTAGTTGATAAAGATCTGAAAAAATTTGACTTGAAAGAGATAACTGTGAAAAGGGTTGGGGGAGGAGGGCGGTATTCAAAGCAAAGAGGCCAGGAGGTACAGGGTGTATTTAAAGACTTGTGGCTTAACTATTGAACATGTTTAAAAAACTGGAAAAAGGAAGGGGTTCCTCATGAACAATAAACATAAACAATGCTTCTCTTTGCTATTTTAAAACATTTATAATAGTTGCCGCTATAAATAACACACTGAAGAGCTTTGGGTATTTATTAATCTTTGTCCATATATATTTGTTTATTTTAAAATTATCGTACAAAGTAATGTGTTTCATTATAGCATTTTCTTATTCACTTTTCTTTGTGAATTTTCCTTCTCCACATCTGTCTCTCATCCCCCTTCAGCCCTGTAGCTTTCCTCCCTCCAGTAGCCTTCTTTCCACTCTTTTTAGTTTTTATTTTGTGAACATCATACATGAGTATAGTCTTTAATGCTGTTTTTAATGTGAATTTCTTGAAGTAGAAGAGGCATGATCATTTTTCTACTCTAATTTAAGACCAACAGTAGGGTTTTAGAAATCAATTAGATTGGAGCCAGGTGTTGAAGGAAAATTAAGCACTAGAAATAAGGTAAAAGAATGCACACAGAAAAGATCTGAGATTAGTAAATAAACCTGACTGTGTTTATTGGGTACAAGGTGTAGGCAATCATGCCAATAGAGCTAGGTTAAGTGTAAACTAGGATTATACTTGATTCCATCAAAGAGGTTTAGTTAATAAAATAGTAAAAGGTTCCTTTTACTTTCTCTTACCTTTTGAATTTCATGGAATCCATTTGTGCCATGTTCCTCAAATCAATACTGGTTATCTTTGGTGTACCAGAACTGATTTTCTTCCATCTCCCCAGGTGATTTTGGCATCTGGAACCAATTCTGTTTCCCCTCCATTGCCCACCATCATGCTAAGTAATAACAACTATGCTTCTATTTTCTCTTACGATCTGCATATCATAGACTGGTACTTATTAAGTATAAAGCACAATGCCCCTACACAATGCTATGTAATTCCTGACAATTTACTTAAGCTCTCCTTGCCTCAGTTTCCCCATAAGAACCTCTACAATTTTTACCAAAGACCTGTGAGAGTTGTACATTATCAGGCCTAGGAAAACATTGGCAATGTTTTGGTAGTGCAATGACAATGACTTCCTCCCATTTTAAGTATATAGACAACTCCCGGTCTCAAAGCAGCTCAGAAGAGCTTTACAAAGGTAACCAGGACCTAACTGCTTCATCAGGAGCATCTTCCCTCACAGCTAGCTACTTTTATTTACTGGCAAAGTCCATGTTGAAGAGATCATCTGTTTGCTAGATTGGGAATAAAATGAGGATGACAACTTGGAAAGTTTCCTTTCACCAGTGTTTACAAATTCAAGAAGCACTGCATTTTATTAGAACACCATGCATTTCCTTCTCTTACTGTCTCTTGGTTTCTAACTAGTCTCTATGCACCATTCTTCCTCTTTCATGTTAGCAAAAAAGGATACAAACTCTGGTTACTTCAGATACCAAAATATCATGGCATGCTGACTAATTTTGCCCAGATTTTCTGTGAAATCTCCACATGTGCTGCAGTTTTGGATTGCATAATTGATTCAATCTCTGATTTTAGAGAAACGCAGAACTCTTTTTGTGGAATTCTACATACATTTCTCTAGGGCAAAAATGCCCTACTTTTTCTCTCTGGTATCTGTTTAGTGCTAGGCCATTCCCCTTACCCCCCCAAGATTTTAAACTACCCTCCATGAAATAAATGAAATCACAGTCGGAAAACATCTTACTGGACAGACTTATAACTGCAAGATAAGAGCTGCATGAGGTACACTTGCTTAACATTCTCCTCCTCCCCTACATCCTTCCTTCTTGCTCTCCTGCATGTTTGGACTAAGAAGATATGTTCATCTCACACTTATGATACCTATACAGAGTAAGGGAACACTAAGTTTCCCTTAGTGTTACAATAGAAACACCCAGGCTGTGGGTTCGAGTCCTTGCTCTCCCTCTGATTTGCTATCAGACTTTATGCAGATTTACTTGCCTCTCTGAATCTTGCTTGCCAACAATTCCAACAGCAGTGGCTGTGGAGGGTGAACAGGAAGAGCAGGCAAGTAGGAAGCCTCAGACTCACACTCTGCCTTAAACTAACCAGATACATATGAAGTACCAACTTGGGGGTAGGGGTGGAGTATGCTATTTGATAGAAAAGACTTACCAAAAGGACAAGGAAGTAATTCTAAGTATACCCATTATTTCATACCATATTCGCCAATCTGTTTTTTTTTTTTCGTTGTTGTTATGTTTGCAGGAAATTGGTAAACTAGACAATCTCATTTGATAGTAAATAATTTTTGTGAGCCTCTTTAGAGTACGTAGATTGAGAGTACTTTTCTACTGGTTATTTCTTCAACAATTGACTCTGTGTGAAGGACATAACCTTCCTAGGTTCATATTCATTAACAATATTTTAGCAACTCCAGGGAAATTTATCATACTGTTTTAAAAATAAAAACGTAACTGTTCCTCAATAGAAGGCCAGAAGTAATTCCAATTTGGCTGAGTATCATAGCCTTATGTGTCCCAATGAAGCTAAATGCTTTATATGTCCTAATGAAGCTAAGTGAATTGATTTAGAAAATAGTTAATTACTGATTTAATAAAACACTCACCACAGACCTAACCTTAGTTAAGTTTAGACAGGAACCGGAAGGTTTAGACTTCTTTGTGTGTGGATATTTACACCGAAACAATCATGCTTCTCAGATTTATTGGAAGGATTAAATGCTAAAAAGGATATGAAGGAAATTATTTCTCAATAGCCATGTTCACTGTATTAGTCAGGTTCTGCTGTGATAATGGTGCTAAGTAAATAACCCTAAATCTCAGTGTCGTGTAAAAGGGAGAAGTCATGTACAAATGGGTTGAACTTGCCTTCAGCCTGCATGTTGTTCTCAGAGGTTTTCTGAATGTCTCTCCAATCAGGCACTAGAGACTACAAGGAATTCTACAGCAGAGAAGAGATGTGAGGAACACTTGCCAAGTTCTTACACCACCAGCCAACAAGAAAATGGCTGTACTGTCATTTCCTTCCTTCCCCGCCCCCTCCCTCCCTCCCTCCCTTCCTTCCTTTTATTTTTATTTTTATTTTTTTTTATTTTGAGACAGGGTTTCCCTGTAGCCCCAGCTGGCTTGGAACTTGCTATGTAGACCAGGCTAGACTTGGACTCACAGAGATCCACCTGCCTCTGCTCCGGAGTGCTGGGATTAAAGGCGTGCGCCACCACACCTGGCCCTGTACTGTCACTTTCATCTGAACTTCAGTAACCAAATACTTCACAAAATCAGCCTGAATATAAGTAGTCAGCAAAGTACTCAGAACTAATGATGAACACTGAATAGTTGCTGGGTAATACTTCAGGCTCCTTCACAGATGTGTATTTGAATCTGACGTTTCCTACTGTCGTTTCATCTTTGTGACCATCGGCTTTTCCCCATCTTGTCTCTATTGTAGCATTCACTTTTTGCTCTCTCTTTTGATTTAATTGCTTTGGATGATATATTTTCCTGTGTTAACAGGTACTAAAGAAAATCCCCTAGAAAAAGAACAAAGGCTTCTCATTCTACTTAGAGCCTCAGAAGAAGTCTTTTGTGACCGTTTTGATGGAATTCGTATTGACCCAGGAACAATTGGTAAGACTGTACTATAGTTTGTGTTGACTATAGCATGCATGCATGTGTGTGTTTGTGTATGTGTTTGTGAAGAGAGAGGCAAAGACCAAGGGACAGAAAGATAGACAGAGAGACAGAGAAATGCCATTCATTGAACTGCTGCTAAATTCTAGGTATTATTCTAAATTATTTATATTTATGATTTGATTTATCAGCTCTTCCATGAACAATGACCATTTTCAGATATTAGAATTATGGCTTAGAAATGATGAACTCTATATATGCTATGGTCACAAAACTATAGTGTACAATGTTGGATTATATA